AAAAAAAAACTTTTTTATTTGGTTAATGTGAATTCCTGGTATTCACACACAGAAAAGTTCCAGCAATAAGCCTTCCAATGTTTATTTGCAAAAATAGACCTTATCAGTCCTTGGATAGTTGCCAGGCCGAGAACTTCCAGTCACAATGCTGTAAAATGAAATACCTGGCAAGGAGTCTCTGTGAGGCACAAACTCAGATAAGCAAACCTTCACCATAGTAAATGAACTAATTGTCTCCTGCAAACACCACTCCCCTTTTCTTCCTATTTATTCCTTATGGGAGGGGCCATTCAGCAGCCACTTGAGCCTTTTCTTTCGAGTCGACCCTTGCTCCTTAGTTGTTCCCTTCTCCTGACAGCTCTGCGCTTATGCACATCTGGAACAGGCTCCAGCTGTTCTTCTTCCCCACTTATCTCCAACTCTAAAGGCAACTGATAAATGTTGGATGGCCCTGGCCCCATCTCTGCCTTTGACACAGAGCACCCATCAGAGCCTTCCCTAGACTCCAGGACGGCTCAAGTTCCTCCCCAACCACCTCACTGTCTGAGTCTGCAGACAGCTCCACTGGCAGCTGGCAGGCCACAACAAGAGCTGAGCAGGGGCATCAGCTTGCATGCTCACAGAGAGGGCTCTGCATGCCACCTCTGGCACATGTGCCATAGGTTCACCATCACGGATATAATCAGTGAAACTTAAACTGGTGACATTATAATTGAAAACTACTTAGGAAACCAGTTAAAGGGGCTTTCCAAAGCTGCAGATTCCTCTTTTTCTTTGGTGGTCTTTCTCATATAATATTTCCTGCTTCTCCCTCTATGAATTAAGTGATATGAAAATGTAGTTTTAAAAGTAACGAATTTTTACATATCATCTTTATTGTACAAGATGAACAAAAAAGTAAAAGGAAATAAAATGGATCTTGTGATTTTGCACATCTTATGTGGCTCAAACAAAGTATCCTATATCTCTTTTCCATTTCCTTTTTGCCATAGTTTAATGGAAAAATAGATTAGATTAGATTAGATTAGATTCAACTTTATTGTCATTGCCATGGATACAGGCAACAAAATGCAGTTAGCATCCAACCAGAAGTGCAAAACAACAGTAAAATATAAATATACTGTATGTATGCAAATATACAAGGCATCTATGAATATGTCAATGGCAAACACAACAAAATGTATGTATACGAGCACATAAGGATAAGTGTGACTGCACATATATGAACATATACAACTGTACAAAATGTTTATAGAGACATTGAATATAAGTACAAATGCACAGAGAATTATACAAAATACATCATATATTATCAAGGGAAGCATCAAATAGCTTCAGAAACTGTGCTTACAAATGAGAAACTGTCAGAAATAATGTTGGTTGTGGAGCTCTTATCTCCTGCTTAAAAACTCATTTCAAATTCAATAGACTTAATCTGCAGCCACGGGTTGATTTTCTATCCTTAAAGTTTAGAGGGTATCACTTTGTTTAGAGGGTATCACTTTCCTTCCTCATCTTCAAGGCATCTGAATATGAACTTTGATGGTAATAATATTTTCAGTGAATTACATTTAACATTGCCCTTCTGTTTATAAAGACACGTTTATTGTGTGATGCTTAATAGATGTGTTCTTATCATTCAGCAGCTCATCCTGTAAAAAATGTATTGTGGTTGGCAATGGAGGAATCCTTCGAAACAAGAACCTGGGTCAAAAAATTGATTCTTACGATGTGGTAATTAGGTAAAGAAACTTTCTATTGTGAAAACAAGTATTTTGTCATTAGCTTTATTATGGGTATGGGCCCTTATGAGGAAAAGAGACAGGAAATGGAATATTGATATATGGCATGATGCAGGTAGACCTCAGTTAACAGTTGCTCAATTTAGAGACTATTTGAAATTATGCTAGTGCTTTACGATTTGCCCTCTCATTTAACAGTTATTACATTGTTCCCACAGTCAGGTAATCACAGCTTTCACATTTCACAACTGACTTCCAACAAGCAGAATCAATGGAAAAGTCAGGAATAAAATCACAAGTAGCAGTTATGAAATGTCTTGCTTAACAAGCGTGGGTGATTTGCTTAACAGTTACAGTGGCAGTGAGGTTGTAAGTCCATTGCAGACATATGATGTCTCACTTAATAACTGATGGGTAATTAGCGATGGGATTACTGATCCCATCGGGGGCAGGGTCAAATGCGTCATCAGTTTGGAGTCACTATGCTCTCACAAGAGACCTACCGTATTTTTCAGACTATAAGACACTTCGAAATATAAGACATGCCTAGCTTTTGGGGAGGAAAACAAGAAAAGAAAAAAATGTGCCTCTGCCTCCAAGCAATTTGCCTCCTTGCAGCAAACAGCCTGGTCAGCTTTAGCGCAGCCTGATTTAGCATGAGCAGCTGATTGTCAATTGGATCTGCCTTTCGGAATACCAACAATCAGGTGTTCCAGCCTGCAGGGATCGCCACCACCTATCACCGCATCCCATGGGGTGCACGAAAGCCGAAAATGGGATGTGCAGAAGCCGAAAACAGGGCGTGCAGAGGCAGTGATAGGCAGTAGTGATCTCTGCAGACTGGAACTGCTGATCATTGGTATTCTGGATGGCAGATCCAACCGGCAATCAGCTGCTCATACTAAATCAGGCTGTGCTAAAGCTGACCAGGCTGTTTGCTATTTGCTGCAAGATAGCAAATTGCTGGGAGGCAGATGCCGAAGGCTGAGGGTCATCGGGGCTTCAGCAACATTCATTATATAAAGTGCATAGACATTTCCACTCACTTTTGGGGAGGGGAAGTGTGTCTTATACACCAAAAAGTACGGTAAGTCCAGCCCCTATGAATTCCATTGACTCTTATCTAGCAGAAAGTTTGCCTTGACAATTTGTAAAACAGATTCTTGTATAGGCAGCATGAAATAAACTCACAGTACTTTTGAATTCTATCCCAGCTTCTGGCTTCTGATGCCTGACAACAAGAACTACCTGTAATGGCATACTGTGTAATAGATTTATGGATTAATTTAAGAACTGATACTTTATTATGCAAAGTATAATATATCCTATTAAATGTAATCCATTTATGTTTGACAACACCCTAGGTTGTTCTTTCCTGGCCCACTTTTTGCTGTTTTATTTTTTAATTTTTTTAAAGTTACAAACCAAGTACAGAACTCTGTCAGTCTGTAGCAAAATAGTAAACATGAAGGCTGGCTATACCTTCTGAATTAATCAGGTTTAACAGGTATATGTTTTCATGAGCAGATGTTGCCTTAAAGGTATAATCAGACTCATAAGTTTTGGTTATAATGTGTAACTTAACTGAAATATACAGTAGTTCATCTTAAGGAGTAGGTCAAGCAAAATGCAATAAAAAAGTTTATTGAGGAGAAATAACTTCAAGATTGTATATTAAATACTTTCCATATATTTTAGGAAGAAATTATGAGAAAGTACAGCTATTTCAGATAAGCTAAAGAAGAAGTAGCAAACCAGAGGAAATGTAACTACTGCATGTACCATTCCCTTGCCACATTCCTGTATCATAGTTGAAGGGGAAGATTTCTATGTTTTTGTCACTCAAATAGCTTACAGAATAGTTTACATGGTTCTGAAAAATTTCTGCAGAAGGACTTCATCTGTATATTGACTCTTCTGAAAGCAAAAAGAAACTAAATCAAGGACGAGTGACTTGCCAGATTTTGCATCATACACATACTGAATCTGTATGAGAAACAAATTCTGCTGGCTCATATTATCATATGTGGTGGACTTGTGCGGATGCTAAAAAATATTGGAGTAAAATCCACACATGGTTGGAAAAAATGACAAAAAAGCATATAGACTTGAAACCAGAGATATTTTTATTGGAAATTTTACCTGAAATATACAGTAAGGAATTTAAATATTTGATTGTAAATGTATTAACAACAATATTTGCCAAAAAACTGGAAAAATGAGAAAATACCAACACAGGAGGAAGTTATTAAGAAAATATTGGAATGTGCTGAAATGAGTAGATTGACATTTCAAATCAGAGAACAAGAAGATAAACAATTTTATAAGATTTGGGATCTATTCGATCAATGATTAGACAATAAAACATGGTAATGAAATATGTAGATTTTTAGAATATAATGAATATATAAAGATGTATTATTTTTATTATATCTACAAAATGATTATAGTGTAGATTTGAGATGATAATATGAACTGCTATAAAACAAATTAAGTAAAATATGGATTACCTTGTAAAACATGAATGAATAATAGTACAGTCAAATGATTGATTAACAATTATATTAATGTATTTTGGAATATTTGATTGACAATACAAGAACATATACAATTTAATTGTAAGTGAAGACTATGAAGTTGAAGCACAAAACAATTTGTAAACCAACCGACACACTGTATGTACAGTATATATATGGAAGATGGCTTGATGTTTTTATGTTGTGTTTGTCTATGTTTGTCTTAAAAAATAATAAAACTTTTATTTTAAAAAAAGAAACAAATTCTGCTTTTGAAGTTGTATTTCAGAAATAAAACAGGGATTTTTCATAACTGTTAATCATATTTTTCCTCAATAGAATGAATAATGGGCCTGTTATAGGTTATGAAAATGACGTTGGAAGGAGGACTACATACCGACTTTTCTATCCAGAGTCAATTTTTTCAGATCCACGTCACTATGATCCTAAAACTATTGCAGTTTTTATTGTCTTCAAACGCCATGACTTAAAATGGCTTTCAGACCTATTAAGTGGCCACAATATAATGGTAAGTTCTGTGCGGTGACAATGTGTTTAAATTTTCTCTTGCTTCTTTTTACCATAAAGAGGCCCAGCAGGATTGGTTTGCTCATACAGTATGCTTAAATCACAAGAACATGGAGCTAAGCTTAATGTAATATTCATTTATATACTGCTGTATACAACCATGGGGAATTATCCTAAGTAAAAATGTTCTCTTTTAGGTTGGTACTTTTGGAATATATTTTTGACTTTAAGTGACATCAGTGACAGAGTACAGGTGAAACTTGAAAAATTAGAATATCATGCAAAAGTTCATTTATTTCAGTAATGCAACTTAAAAGGTGAAACTAATATATGAGATAGACTCATTAAATGCAAAGCAAGATAGTTCCAGCCACGATTTGTCATATTTGAGATGATTATGGCTTACAGCCCATGAAAACCCCAAATCCACAATCTCAGAAAATTAGAATATTATATGCAACCAATAAAACAAGGATTGTACATAGAACAATATTGGGCCTCTCTAAAGTATAAGCATGCATGTGTGCTCAGTACTTGGTTTGGGCCCCTTTGGTAGCAATTACTGCCTCAATTCGGCATGTCATGGAAGCTGTGGCACTGCTGAGGTGTTATGGAAGATAGGATGCTTCAATTGTGGCCTTCAGCTCTTCTTGTTCGGTCTCATGTCTCTCATCTTTCTCTTGGCAATGGCCCATAGATTCAGGTCAGGCAAGTTTGCTGGCCAATCAAGCACAGTAATCCCGCGGTCATTGAAGCAGGTTTTGGTACTTTTGGCAGTGGGCAGGTGCCAAGTGCTGCTGGAAAATGAACTCTGCATCCCCATAAAGTTCCTCTGTCGAAGGAAGCATGAAGTGCTCCAAAATCTGCTGGTAGACAGCTGCGTTGACCCTGGAGTTAATTAAGCATAGTGGACCTACACCAGCAGATGACATGGCTCCCCAAATCAACAAGACTGTGGAAACTTTACACTGTCCCTCAAGCATCTTGCAGTATGTGCCTCTCCATTCTTCCTCCGGACTCTGGGTCCTTGGTTTCCAAATGAGATGCAAAAGTTGCTCTCATCAGAAAAGAGGACTTTGGACCACTGAGCAACAGACCAGGTCTGTTTTTCTTTAGCCCAGATAAGATGCTTCTCTTTGTTTTTCAGGAGCGACTTGACAAGAGGAATACAACATTTGAAGCCTATGTCCAGGATCCGTCTGTGTGTGGTGGCACTTGCCTCAGTCCACTCTTTGTGAAAGTCCCCAACACTTTTGAATGGCCTTTTCTTGACAATCCTCTCCAGGCTGCGGTCATCCCTGCTGCTTGTACACCTTTTTCTTCCACACTTTTCCCTTCCACAAAACTTTCTATTAATGTGCTTTGATGCAGCACTTTGGGAACATCCAACTTCTTTTGCAGGCTTTCCCTCCTTATGGAGGGTGTCAGTGATGGTTTTCTGCATAACTGTCAGGTCAGCAGTCTTTTCCATGATTGTGCTTCCTACCGAACCAGACTGAGAGACCATTTAAAGGCTCAGGAACCCTTTGCAGGTGTTATGGCTTAACTAGCTGATTAGAGTGGGACACTTTGAGCCTAGAATATTGAACCTTTTCACAATATTCTAATTTTCTGAGATTGTGGATTTGGGGTTTTCATGAGCTGTGAGCCATAATCATCTCAATTATGACACATTACGGCTTGAACTATCTTGCTTTGCATGTAATGAGTGTATCTCATATATTAAGCTCACCTTTTAAGTTGCATTACTGAAATAAATGAACTTTTGCATGCTATTCTAATTTTTCGAGTTTCACCTGTTTGTTATTGGGATAGTGAGCTCTTCTAATGAACATTCCAAGATTGATTTTTATATGGTTTATATGGTGTGTTGCAGAAGAGTGATTGAGAGTTGATTGATTGGGATGTAGGGGATGCCTGTCATGGTTCTGAATAATGATCCCAATCAATTCAGGACTCTGAGGCTGTAGCTTTTCTCAAAGATCTCCTTTATTGGCTATATCTTATTGGCACGTTCAGGTGTGAATCCAACTCTAAATATTTCCTGTGGTTTGGTATAATTAAAAGAATAAATCTTCTCCATGTGGCAGACTTTCCAGCTACTCCCTCCGGCTGTTATGAATGCTCATTGAGATGACCTTGCTTCCCATAAGCCCTATTGCTGTTATGTCTGGAATATTAGAAGAAAATATTCTACATTCTATTACCGCCCCCCCCCCCCCCCGCGCACCCTGTCAATATCTGTGGCAACTGAGAAATGAAGAGAAGAGAATATGGCTTCAGTTAAAGTCATTTCAAGAGTTGACTGTCATTTAATATGTTGTATAAATGCTGTATAGAAACACCATTACGAGTTTAATTGTCGATTTAGAGACGTAAATTTCCCAATTGTAGTGGGTTGTCAGGGATACTGGACAGATTCTGCATTTAGGGGAAACTTGCCAATTTGGAGAACTTTTTAAATTGATACTTACAGTTTTTAGGGAATATTTTTTCTCAGTTTTGTAGGATTCCATTTCTGATCAGCACTGCCTTATAGTTAATGAAAAATCATATTGCTAATTTGTTTTCTCATTTGTAAGGTTCATTATCATCATTTCCTTAATGTAGTCAGGGTATGTTTTCACTGTTTTCAATATGAAGCAGAAAACATGACTATTGAGGTTTTTTTAGAACTAGTTTGTATGATATTTCTTCCTTTACAATGGCATGTTTTCGTTTGTTATGGAAGTACAGCTTTCACCTCTTAAAGGCATGCTTTTTGTCCATAGGCAACTAATGTCTTCTGGAAGAAACCAGCAATGAAAATGATTTATAAGCCTAACCAAATCAGAATCCTTGATCCATTTATTATTAAAAGGACAGCATATGAATTGCTTCATTTCCCCAGAAAATTTCCTAGACGAGGAGTAAGTATTTTACTATGACAATTTGAATAATATTGGCTAAGAAATTGTAATCGGCAATACTGAATAATAAAGCTTCTTATAGATTATCTATTACAACAAAATTAGGACATTACTATATTTCTATATTGTTTTTTATCTCCCAAGAGTTGAGAATGGTGCTTATTATTTTTATCCTATCCTCTTAATCATGAGAAATTGAGTAGGCTGAAGGAAAGTGTGAGATATTGGCTCAAGATAATTTAACTTGAGATTTCTTTTTGATGTTTAGACATCTCATTGGTTTTTCATTAGAACTTTGAACAATAATTGTAATGTAATATATAATTATATATATAAAATAAATATACAGTTATAATTTAATAGAGCTTTTAATTGTTATTTAAAGCAGAAGGTTTCAAGCACTTTCAGACTGTAGAAACTTTTAGTTTAAAAAAAATTTGGGAATCCCTGAAAAGTGCATATTTGTATTTTTAAATGTTGGTTTGGATTATTTATTTTACATAATTGTTTTCATTTGAAATGATATGGTTGTAGAATTTAAAAAATGAACTGAACTTTAAGGATCAATTAATTTGATACTAACAAATATTTTTGTAGCTGCAATTTTATACATTTTAGTTTCATTTATTGTCCAATAAAAATTGCAACCATTATTATTATTGGCCTATAGTAACATACCCAAATCAATAGCAATAACTGTGCCCTTAGGCAATAGTCCCATATCTTAATATTTAGCTTCAATTACAAATGAATAAATACAAGTTTTACATTCTTCTTAGTAGCTCTGATTTTATTAAGCTGAGGCAATCTACTGGTACCTGGCATATCCAAGCTCTGTAAAGGACCTTGGAATACTCACCTCTAATGATCTAAGTGCTAGTGCCCACTGCAACTACATAGCCAAAAAGGCATTAAGAGTTGTTAACCTAATCTTACGTAGCTTTTTCTCTGGTAATATCACACTACTAACTAGAGCATACAAAACATTTGCTAGACCAATACTCGAATACAGCTCATCAGTCTGGAACCCACATTACGTATCTGATATTAGCACAATTGAGAAAGTCCAGAAATATTTCACAAGAAGAGTTCTCCACTCCTCTACTCGTTGTAGAATACCTTATGCCACCAGACTTGAAATTCTAGAACTAGAAAACCTTGAATTACGCCGTCTTCGGTCTGATTTAAGCATGGTATATAAAATCATACATTGCAATGTCCTACCTGTCAATGAATACTTCAGCTTCAACCATAACAACACAAGAGCACACAACAGATACAAACTCAAGGTTAACCGCACCAAGCTTGATTGCAGGAAATACGACTTCAGCAACAGAGTGGTCAATGTCTGGAATACTCTACCCGACTCTGTAGTTTCTTCCCCAAACCCCAAAAACTTTAACCTTAGACTGTCTACTATTGACCTCACCCCTTTCCTAAGAGGTCTGTAGGGGGCGTGCATAAGCGCACCAACGTGCCTACCGTCCCTGTCCTATTGTTTCTTTTATTTTTCTTTTATTTTTCTTATATGTACTCATTTCATGTATTCATAATTATGTATACACTTTTACTTATCTCGTAAACAATTGACAAATAAAATAAATAAATAAATAAAATAAATATCTGAGCAATCCATATTAAATGATAATTGTCTACTTTAAAAGTAGAATCAAGGAATGTTATCAATTGATGTTTGTTTGTTTTTTCATTTATGTGAACTCAGTGTTCTGAACCAGCTCTTAAAATAAATATTGCTACTGTTCTGCTTAATAGAAAAACTATAACTGGTGGTTATAGATCATTTAGAGCAGGCAGATAATCTTAATGCTTTTCCACTGTCTTTAGTCAGCTTGTGAACCTTAGTAAGCAGGTCACCTAGTCCAAGATACTGCTTAGTGCAGAATCTACTACAGATGACCATTGGACTTCTTCTGTATGAAGACAACCAAACAAAACAGGATTCATCATTCCATGTAGCAAACTATTCTACTAGTTGGTAGTTTATGTCAAAAAGTTCTTTCTGAAACCTAGCTTGAATCTGGGTCCTAATAATATAACGTTATTGGTTCTGAAATAATAGACAGTACCTGAAATAGACAGTACCTGTTCACTTTACTGTGCCACAACCTTGAAACAGCTAAAGATGTCTATATTGCCCTTAATTTCCTCTTCTGTAGGCTAAATTTACACAAGCCTTTTAGCCTTTCCTCATAGGGTTTTGTTTCTAGAGCCCTCACCATCTTTGATATCCCTCTTCTAAAATTGTCCCAATGTATCACTATCCTAAAATTGAACATAAAATTGGGACTACGGTGTATAAGTAATGTTTTTTTTCCACATTTAAAAAAAAATCTGCAAAGCAATCCAGGCAACATGGATTCTTCAACCAAATTTTCTGCTGGTTTTTTTTTGCAGCCTAGATGAGGTAGCCCTATTTAGAGGGCTGATACGCTCCTTCCCTGGAAAAGACAGAGTGAAAAACAACTGAGTATGGCTTCAGAATCTGCTGATTCAAGATTAGGATATTATTTTTTTTTCATGTTAAAATATGCTTCTTTTTACATTTTTTTTCAACCCCTTTTTCTTTACTATCATATCCATTAGATTAGGCTGAGAAAGGAAAAGACCACTGAGTATCCAGGCTGTTGCAGCTTAGTTATAGCGATGCCTGAGCGTCTAGCAGAGATTGTTACCCTGGAAGGACCTGGAATAGCAGTAGGGCTTCACAGATCAGCAAGCAAGTTCCTTCACGTTGTGCAAAAATAATGAAAGCTGCAGCAACAATAAAGACAGTTGGCCAGGTGACACTGGTATTAACAAGGCAAACGGGAAAACCGTTGAAGGCACTTGAAAGAGACAGTAGTCTGGGAAAGGTGTCAAAGCCCAGAAAGCTCTTCTGGAGTCATCTGAGCTATGCTGCCTAACAGTTATTGTAAGCAAAGTTGGAAACGCCCAACAATTGCACTTCATTGAGACTTCCACAGAAGCGGTTGTTTTAGGCACAAGTCTGCATTTATCTCTATGTTCTCTAGGGGAACAAAATCTGCAGCATTTCATTCCTTGTCTTTTGTGGCCTCCAAAGGCCCTCCCACTTACCAAATCGAAATCTTTTACCATTTTGAAATAACAACCATATAAAAAGTGTTGTGTAGGTATCAAGGACTGAAGCATATTAAAAACAAACGCCTAGTCTCTTTCCCCCTCACATACCTGCGTTCTAAATAGGCAATTAGTCAATCTACTACATAATGAGCCTCCATTGATTTAGTATTGATTTAGTAATACCTTCCCTATTTTGGTCTAAGCCTCAGAAGAAATATAGTATCTATCCATTAAAGGGATTACCTGTGCTTGATTTACTATAATCAACACTAAATAGATAAGCAGACAGACATTGGTATAGAATTTGCCATATTTCTTCCAAATGCAAATGTGTTTGGCATACGTGAATCTGTTTGCAAATCAAATATATTTATAATTTGATTTTTTTTCAGAGACCAAAACATCCCACAACAGGGTTAATTGCCATTGCCTTTGCCTTTGATATATGTACTGAAGTTCATGTGGCTGGCTTCAAGTACAGCCTGCAGGATCCGGGCAGTTCTTTGCACTATTATGGTAATGACACCATGTCTTTGATGATTAAGGTAATAACCCTATTTTTTTTTATAGAAACTTTTATATGTATGCAGTGTATTTCTTTTTCACTGGGTTGTATCAAATGTCAGTTTGTAGTAGCAGAAAGCATTTTCTGGGGATCTGTTACTAGATATTCACCTCTTCCTTCATACAGTCGTCAAGGCTTTATCTCCAGCTTTGGATGGTTGGCGGGGGGGAGCTGCAATACATAAAAGAAGTTTAGGAGACAGAACCACTCTGAGCTATCATTGGTAATAACTCAGTGTGATGATTATTGTTCTCTCTTATTAGAGTTAGCATGCCAATAAACTGCTTTATTTAGAGTCAACAAGTCAAGCTCTGAAAACATAGTTTGAACATGATGAACCCTAACCCTTCCGTGGTCAGAGAAATGCAATTTATAATGTCTTTGCTGGGGGAGAGAGAGAGAGAGAGTGTCAAGATTCCGCATTACATTTTCTCAAAATCCTTATAAGTCATCTGTACATTACAAAAGTATTAATCTAATAAATTAATTATAGCAACTGATATTAATCTTTCCATAATGGTTCTCATTTCATCACTTTTTTTACATTACGAATCATCAGTTAATATATAATATTCTTATTATAAATTTCCATTAAGTTCCATCTCTAATGTAGCAATAATCCTTTAATAAAAACAGAGAAAGAAAGAGACTAACCCCTCCCCCCCCATATCAGTTACATACTTATTTATTTTCAGTACTTCTTACTTCAGTACTTTCAGTACTATCACAACATATTATCTTGCAGAATTTCCTTCTGTATCTTTTTTTTCACCCATTATCTCTTGCTCTTCTATCAATGTAATTCCTTTTCATCCTTGCTTGCTTCCTGTTTCTCTTTATTTTCTGGTCCTTTCTCTTAATTCCCCTTTTCCCCATTCTTATTCCCCTCCATTTCTCATTCCAATTATTAAGTTTATCTCCCTCTTTCAATTTTTCTTTTGTATTTCCCTTTTCTGCTCCCCCCCCCTTTTTTTTTCATTTTCCGAACCATTCTCTCTTTTGTTATCACATCAGACCACAAATTTTTAATTTTAATCCCTTTTTCCCCCTGCTTAAATAATTTGTTCTTCAAAGCTGGCTTCTTCTTTGTTAAACTTTTCCCCCTTTGGTTTTCTTTGTTCTTCTACAAGCTGAGTCACCATTTCTAATTTCTGTAATACATAATTGCACATTTCAAGTTTAATTTTCTTCATTTCCCTTATATCTTGCAAGTCCAATCTTATTTCAACAAATAATTCCTCCATTATATCTTCTCCTTTTTTCCTTTTCTCTTTCCTCTTTCTTAATAGATGTATTCAATCCCAAAGTCTAGTATATTATTTCAGCCAGTGTCTTTTAAGTTTATTTTCAACAATCAATGTCCTTTGCTCCAGGTCTTCTAATTGGCCCTTTCCCAACTGTTTCCCACAGTCACCAGGTGGTTCTATGACAATATTTTCAAATATCTTCCCCTTTGTAATATTCTAATATTGCTTTCCAGGGTTTTTATTTTATTATAATGGAGTTTCTTTTACTTCCTTTTAAGTTCCAAAGTCCAATTTCTTAGAAAGACCAAGCACTTTTCAAAGAGTCACTGAAATTTTTCCTGTACTATCAGGTAGCGCTCTTGAGTCTTTTCCACAATCCACTCCTTCCTTAACTTTAACTTTCTTTGTTAAATATAGTATTTTTATTAAGTTCGCTAATTTCAGTCATTAGCTATTATTTCTTTTCTTTTCAACACGCTCAATTCCAGCATTTAGTTATGCCCTTTAAGTGCCAATAATCCAATATTTGTCCAGTTTAATCTTTGTTGTGTTCAAATATTTTCTTTTAAATTTTCTCCTCCAAGTTAATCCAAAACAATAATTCAAGCCAATTCTATAAAATCCAATTTCCTTCTCACTTTCTTTGGTCTCCGCTTCCACACACTTTTCTCCAAAATAGTCCTTTATTTTTTAATACCAGGGTGCCTCAAAATCCATTTGTTTTGCCTGGTTCACACTCCACTTGCTGCTTCTCCACTCCAGCACAGCCTTTGTTCCCGAACTGTTTTTCGTCTTTGTGGTGGCCATTTTAGGACCACCACTAACACTGAGTTCACTTAATGACTGCCATATTCATTTAATGCTACAGATCCTGTCAGCCAAAAACATCATATGACAGGGACTAGAAGAGGAGCTTTTCCTTCAGCAGCCCCTACTTTCTCTTCATAGATTAAAATGTCCCCAAGCCTATTTGTTGTTGTTAGTTGCGAAGCTGTGTCCGACTCATTGCAACCTCATGGACAACATTCCTCCAGGACTTCCTGTCCTTTACCATCTCCCAGAGTCCATTTAAGTCATCCTGATTGCTTCAGTAACTCCATCCAGCCACCTCATTCTCTGTTATCCCCTTCTTCTTTTGCCCTCAATCTTTCCATTAGGCTCTTCTCCAGTGAGTCCTTCCTTCTTATTAGGTGGCCAAAGTATTTCAGTTTCATCTTCAGGATCTGGCCGTCTAAAGAGCAGCCAGGCCTTTAAACAGCAACCAAACCTGTTAGCCTTCCGTAAAGCTTTAAAGACCTGATTGTGCTTCTAAGTCTGGGGCGCTATACGTATCAGGGCCCTGCCTCCTGGCTATATTTTTAACAGGCCTGATGTCTTACTTTGTATGTATTCACATTAGACGCTTTAACATTTTTTACTGTTTTAATTGCTTTAATTGTTTTTGTTGTTTTAAAATGCATTTTGATTATAGTTGCACATTTCTGTCTTGTGAGCTGTCCAGAATAATTTGCTGAGATGGATGCTATGGAAATAAATAAATAGTGACTGCTGCAAAAAAAAAAGTTGCAAAATTTTTATATTTTTGAGTTTTATATTCTTTTATTGTTCTTTACAGAATGAATACCATGATATTGATGCAGAGCAAAGACTTTTGAAGAACCTTATAGATCACCAAATTGTGATCAATCTCACAGAATAACCAAATTAAGAAACAATTATTTTTTAATAAAACTGAATGGGGAAATTATTTTTTTAATAAAGTATTTATAGAAATTTGCCATTTTTAAAAAATATAAATGTATCTCACATATCTTCTAAGAATGTCTCTGCCTTACTATTAGTGTTTTCCCAGAAAGTAACGATCACAGTCATTTACACAAACATGTTAATTTAATAATGGAAAAATGTTGGCTGTATTAGATTAACAAAAAACTATTATTTCCTCTTAGTTTTATGTTTACCATTTCCCACATGATGGCACATTGTATCTACATCTTGCAATGTAGATAAGTAGAGGTCAAGATAAAATGTTATTAAGGCAACAATATATAATGTCCCTTCTGTTGAGTTTCAATCTTGAGTAAAAAAAAGTGAAGTGCTAAAAAAATTAATACACTTGCTCTCCATAATGGGGTGTTGGAAACGCATATCATTAATTTCTAAATCTTGTTTAAAATGAGACTGCAAACTATGACTTTTACAGTAAGATGATGTGTGTCTCGATTAAAGCAACACAGTGATAACTACTGGACAATGCTAAATACAGTATTAAAAATGGCTTATGAGTAAGGTAATTTTCATTTTAAATAATGGAACAGTGTAAAGCAGTCACTCTGCTCTGAATTTCCTGTATATTGCAATTATAAAATTGTCTTTAATTAATATATATTCAAGATGTTGCAAAGATGCTTAAATCAGAGGCATCTGCAGGCAGAATTTTTAAAAAGTTGTAATGGTCACCATGATTATATGATCAAAGTTCCACCAGCCTTTTTTTGTTTAATATGCAGTGCAATTGTGTGAATGCAAACTATTATATCCCTCCTTCCACTCTTCCCCCAATGGACATCCCCACTTAAAATATGACATACTATAGAAGGTTACTCTTGGGTCTTGTTCAGAATGCTGTTAAAACTGTTTATTCCAAATATTACATTCTTTTTAACTTTTATTATATTTTCTGCTCTCAAATTTTATCTTTATTGAATTTAATTGAATTCTTTTACACAGTATACATACAATGAAATTCACATAACACCCAGAAACCAGACTCAACATGCACACACACATGACAATCCCCAAACACCTCCCCACCCACCAAAATTCCCTGCCTCCTAAAAACACACAAGCATCCACACAACACACCAAGTAATACTGTCCAACAGCTCCCTGATGGTGGTCCTTAAGTTCATTGTTAAGTGCAATTATAGCTCTGGGATAAAAACTATTCAGAAAATGTGTGGTCCGAATTTTAATTGTTCTGTATCTTCTGCCAGAAGGCAACAGTTCATAAAGATAGTAAGCACAATGGGAAGAGTCTCTGAGAAAGTTGTGCAACTTCCTCAAACAGCGAGATGTGAAGATGTCATCCAGGGCTGGTAGTTGGCGCCCAATGATATTCTGGGCAGTTTAAATTATTCTCTGTAGAGCTTTTTTGTCTGCTAAAGAGCTGCTCCCATACCATACAAGAATGTAATATGTCAGGACACTCTCAGTGGTGCTGTAGTAGTAGGACAAAAGTAGATACTGAGATAGATTTATCTTTCTGAGCCTTCATTACAAGCATGTTAGCATTCATAGTCCATGAGAGGTCCTCCAAGTTATAAGTGGCCAGAAATTTAAAACTACTAATCCTCTCCACCTCATCATTTATGTACAATGGTAAATGTACATCTCTCTTCCTCCTGAAGTCAATTATAAGTTCTTTAGTTTTTTTGGTGTTAAGTGCAAGATTATTTTCTTTACACCTCAGTGTCAGCCCTTCTGATTCCTTTGTATAAGCAGACTCATTGTTCTTATTAATGAGCCCCACCACTGTCATGTCATCCGCAAATTTAATAATTGTGTTGGTGTTTACAATGGGGTGCAGTCATATGTGTACAAAGAATAAAGGAAGGGGCTTAGCACACAACCCTGGGGAGCTCCTGTGCTTACTATCAGAGTAGAAGAATGGTGAAATCCCTTACTGACCTATCCTGTGCTTACTATCAGAGTAGAAGAATGGTGAAATCCCTTCCTTACTGACCTATCTGTTAGAAAATCCTTTATCCACAAACAAATCATCTGATTTATACCCAAACTGGACATTTTTTCCCTGTTGTTCCAAATGATTCAATACAGTATGGACAACAATCTTTAACTTTAAGGTCAGAGTTGCATTGTTGTCAAATGCAGAGTCAGTAAAAGCAGAATCCCTACAGCAGTCTAGACATCTGCATTTTCCAGAAACAATCTTTGTTTAAAGGAATAGCTTAGCTAAGGGGTAACAAATTCTTACTTCACTTGTTCACCTTGTAGTGGCAAATATTCTGTTTTTATAATATTTACAGCTATTTGACATTCTTTGGTTTACTAATGCAAATAGTTCAAAATCTCTTCAAATAAAAGATGACAGTATTCTTCTAGTAGGTCTTCCTAAATCATTGAGTTTGTTTGGATGTTATTTTACCCTCTCTTTTCTAAATTAATGTTTAGCTCTTTAGAAAACATATAATTTCTTAACTTGTTAATTTTGCTTAATATAGTGCTGCATATTACTGAAATTTCTGAAGAGTTTGAGGTAAATAGTGGGATATGTTCCAAAGGTGTTTGGAACCAAAGGTGCTACAGTTCATATAAACATCAGTGAGCAATTCCAGACATTTATAGCCCTAAGTACTGGAAAACACTTAGCTGACACACACATAACAATTTATATTTTACAGGCCAATTCCTTTATTTCTATTAAAAATAAATAATTTATCATCATTAAATGATTTGAATATCTTTGGTCCCATAATATAGTATAGACTCGAGCCATATTAGAAGGCTCTTGGTTTCTTCTCCAAAATCCTTGATCCTTTCCAACTACTTTCCTAAGTGTTGTCCCAATCAAAAGGAAAAATCTTACTTTTAGCAGCGCCAAATTGGAACTAATAGCTGTTCCTCTTCTTTTCAAGGCTTTCAAATAGCATTTTTGTGGCGTATTTTAAAAGTCCTTTGTGTGGGATTTGGGCAACATTTTTGAAATTGCTGAGTTGCTGCTGAGGAGGTATTCAAATCCCTTTTAGAAAATTAGTAATCCGGCTTATTTTGAAATATTGATAGCAGTGGAAGCTTTTTTGAAGCATCTCTGCCATGTAAGAACAGGCATGTATGAATAAATACATGAGATATGTTAAATTTGGGAAGAACAGGAGGGGAAAACATAATGGAGGGATGCATATTCACATTGCATTTCATTTTGCTGGCTGTTGATGAATAAGATTTCCATCGTGTTAGTCCAGGAACAGTTGCTATCATTAGAGATGCTTAAATAGACTGTGACTTTCCAAAAGTTTCTTGTGCACCTGGCCTGCAATGTTGAGGCCTATTTGTATTTTTATTCTGCCTTGTAAATTCCACATGTAGATCACTGCAGTCTCAGGATTGATGCAAAATAAAGCTAACGTTGTTAAGAAAAGGACATTTCAGAAAGACATGCTGCATTTCCCACTTCTACATAACCCTTCACGGGGTTAATTCTGCCCACATTCAGATATGGCCATTGAAAGAGTCCTCTCTTTTCTAATGCCCCTTGGATTCAGCTACATTCCATATTTTATATGTTATGTGATCAGCTGTATTGCTGTACTCTTGTTTAAAATCTCACAGTGTTACACAAAAGGTTAACTTTTGTTATTTAGATATTTTCAGATTAAAGATTCTGACTTTGCCTATTTAAAATTGAACTAAAGATATACTGTAGGTCTCACTCTTTTTGAAAGTAGCTTCACTTTTTCTTTATGATTTAATAGAATATATATGAGGCTGGGAATAAATTGTGGAACATTTACACTCTTGAACTTTTCACTGGGCTCAAACTTTTTGTGTGTGTGTGTGCTAACATTGAATTTTGATTTCTGAAATGTGATGATTTAATTTTGAAATTAAAATTAGTATTATTACTTCTGTTGCATTAAGTATTTGCTGTTTATATTCCCCAAAGATTTCTTAAGTTTCTTAACAGTTGAGCAACGAATTCTACTTCTGAACATTTATGCTGTTAAGTAGCTGTTCAAATTCGTTTTGTTTTTATATCAAAAGGCAAATTTAAAAACCCGTTGTAATTATTTGTGTAAAATAGTAGATTAATATGAAAGAGAATTATTTTTGTTATAATAAATATATTAAAATAAATGTGTGTGTTTGTTGCTTTTTTGAAATATTGTGCAGATCAGTATAAATGTATCTACACTGTTAATGATATGATCATAGGTTACCAATGATGGGCATCCCACACATAAATACAGATTTCACACTATGCCAGTACTATACTATCCCACAATAGTACTCCCCAATACAGGATCATGTCTACTCTAATATCTCAATGATATTCACACTCTATATCCCATAATATAATATTCCTTGGGTAATTATTAAGAAACACCCCCACTGTTTACAGATTTATAGCAGAGTGGGTTTTGGTAATAAAACAGTTTTGTTTGGAATGATAATTAAAATCTGCATTATAGGATTTTGTAAAAATCAACAGCTTATTTAAAAGGCTTTTAAAAATGTCTAATAGGACATAGCAATAAATTATATGCTATTTTAATTAAAATAAAATAATTTCATGCTATTTAAAAACAGCATTAATAAGGACTTTTTCCCCGTCTTGGTAATAAACATCTTTTTTTCTTTTCATAACTGATTAGTTGTATGCCTGATGAGATATATTCTTCTCAGTTCATTTCATGAATAGTAATCATTATGCCAGAACAAAATATTCTTTTATTTCAATAAAGTTACTTTATGTACTTTCTGTTTCCGCCTACCTTTTTAATGAATTATTTGTCCAAAGCAGCTGGCAATATTTGCTTTCTCCAGAAGATTGATTTCTGTTCACTGAATAAAAAAAGCTATTACAAAAAGCTTTTTCCTATGCCCTCATGGTGATCTTGGCATTTTCAGGCCAGATCTATACTACATGTAAAAATAATACTATATATTATTAATGTAATATTAATGTAATAATTAAATTGTAATAATAATAATTAAATAATTTTAATAATAATTAAATAATAATTAAATTGTAAATATGGAAAAATATGTTGGTCTAAAAGTCTCCCACCACTGAGAAAAGTTGTGTGCTCAAAATTAAATAATGTAAGACTGGTCTTAATAGCTTCAAGATTTTCCCTAATTGATATGCAGATGTTAAGGGTCTTTTTAACTGGTAAATTTTAGGGAGTAAAATGTATAATATGTGAATGAATATTATGGAAATAATATGTGTTGTGACTTTTTAGATCAAGGGGGTCTTAGTTTCCATTGTATCCATACATTGCAAATTACGATACAGACATTTTCAGTTGTTTTGCAATCTTTCAACCTTCAATTTTAGATTATAGATTGTAGAACAATTTCAGAACCTGTGTGGCATCTCATAAATCTCCATCACAATTATTAAGATAGTTAACTAAATCTGTCCATTTGCTTAGTAACAGAATGATTCTCTGAAACTTTATTATAATTTTTTTTGTAAGAATTATTTGTCCAAAACAATTGGACAATAATTGAATAATGGGGAATTTTCTAGGCTGTTTTGTACTGTTAAAGGCACCAGGTGCTGATAATGTCCTGCCAGAAATAATAAAAAAGAATGCCAGTTGGTGGGCTCCACTCTTAGCATCTCTGCTTACATTTAAAGATAAAACGGTCCGTATGCCAAGAGATTGGGGATTAGCAATTATACCAATCTATAAAAAAAGGTAATAGAAATGACCCAGGTAACTATAGACCTATTAGCCTTCTGAATGTTATTAGTAAATTGCATGTCAAACACCTAAACTATAAACTTCAGGATTGGTTAATTTCCGGGGGGATAATAAAAGATGAGCAAGCTGGTTTTAGAGAAGGAAGATCTACAGTGGATCATATCTTGGTACCTCACCATCTGGTTCAAAAATACACGAATAAAAAAAAATCTTTTCGTGGCCTTTCTTGATTTTAAGCAGGCGTTCGATTCAATATCTAGGAACACTCTGGGAGAAATTAAAACGCATTACCATCGATAAATGCCTCCTTTTCCTCATACAAAAATTGTATGATAATCCCACCTTGAAAGTGAGGTGTAATCCTCAAGGGACTTTAACTGGCCCAGTAAGGGTACAAAAACGAGTATGGCAGGGTTGCATCCTATCCCCCTCCCTTTTTAACTTTCACATTAACCCTCTGATCAACCTCTTACAGAACCCTGATTTATATCCTCCAAACGTAGCACAATGTAAAATTGCAATTCTGTATGCCGATGCTGCTGCTATAATCTCACAAACTCCAATAGGACTGAAGAGAGCAATTATGGCAACACTTGAATTTTGTAAACAGAATAAGCTGGTCCTTAACTTTGATAAATCAAAAGTTTTAGTTTTTGCTAAAAGACCTAGACAATACTGGAAAATAGAAGGGTATAGTCTAGAACAGGTCAGGACATTGAGATATCTTGGGGTAATTTTCCACCCACAAGGGACGTGGAAGGCACAACTGGATCACACAGCGCAAGCAGCCTTTAGGTCGTCAAATGCAATTAAACACTTTTTTTTACACCGGTGGAGGGCAATTAGTACCTGCGGCCTTAAAACTTTTTGAGGCCAAAACATGGGCACAAATTCTATATGGGGCACAAACAGGGATCCTTGCAAAAAAAAAAAAAAGACTTGCAAGTACCTATACAAACCAAATTCCTGCAAGCCATCTTAGCTGCACCCAAAGGAACTCCAAGTGCCCAGGTAAGAATTGAGACAGGCATACCTCAAATTCAGGTAAAAGCCTTGAAGATGATGGTCATTCATTGGCTAAAAATGCATTTCTTCCCGGAGGGACTGACCCCTCTAGTACTGACTGATAACTACCCCTCCCCTGGAAACAGGCAATAGACCACAAGCTGGGCTCCTATGGGCTCTCACCTGTATGCTTAATGTCCCTAAGCTTTGACCAAGCAAAGCAAGTAGTAATCAATAGAATGAAGGACATGGAGTTCCAAGAAGAATTAAATAGGTTGGCTTGCCACAGCAGGGACAGAATTAAACAGGGAGTATGGGAATCAGCAAGATATCTGAATGGTCTGATCTTCCCAAAACAAAGAATAGCTTTCTTCAGAGCCAGATTTAATATTCTCCCTTCAGCACTTCTTCAGGGCAGATATAAGAAAACACCAATAGCAGAATGGGTATGTATATGTGGTAAAGGAGAAGTTGAAGATATCTCACATATTTTATTGTACTGTGAGTTATATAGAGTTTATAAGTCATTGTATATTCTCCCCTTACTAGAGAGATTGCCAGGGAGGGCAGACAATTTTTATGTAGATTTTCTCCTCCAGGATTCAAACCCAGCTATTACGCACGCAGTGGCAAAATTCTGTGCTGCTGCAATGTCTACTAGAAAAAAAATTGGTTACATAATTATAGCTGTCAATTTGTGACAATTTTTGGAGATAGAACAAACTTTGGAAAATGATATTTACACATATACTTATTGGCTCTCCACTCATATAAACCAGGGAGTGCCCCTAACTGTTTGAGAATATGTATTTTCTTAACAGATGTTTTTATCCACTACTAATGCATTATAATGTGTCAGTATTTCTTATGTATATTGTAAATAGTGGTGTCTATTGCTGGTCTAAGACTGTAATAAAGTTATATTCATTCATTCAATTGTTTATATAATGTTTTTCCAGGATGAAGAAGGTTCCACCTAATTTTTATTGCACATGGCCTTGAGTCCCTCTGTGAGAAAGATGGCAGTTTTTAAATATGATAAATAAATTCTGTGTTTATCTTTCATCTTAGCTAAGGAAATATCCTCAAGGACTACACCAGAAGATCCCGCTTAGCAACCTGCAGTTCTTGTACCTCAACAATTAGAACTGACAGCTATACTGCCTCCAATATTAGAATATAGTCTAATAACATATGTTATATGAGTTGTGATAACCTTATCATCCAAAGTGATCACTACTACTTCTGGTAATAAATTCTATAGTTTAATTGCATATGAGATATGTAAATAATATCTGATCTGAAACTTCAGTATACAGTCTCATGGATCCAATCTTATTCCTGAGAGAAAAATACATCTTTCAAACAATGTCACTATCCCGTACATCATTTTATACATGTTTATGAGCATTATTATTTTGTTTATTGTGTGTGTGTGTGTGTGCGCCTTATGATGATGGCAGAGACAGGCTGCTGAATGGGCATTTTATGATTTTCTAGATTTTCCAGCACATCTGGTTTGTTATTGATTTGTCAGAGTAGATGCAAGAACATTTAGCATCATTTCCTTATTGTTATTTACCAGTATTTTGCCCTGTTTGAGTGTTCTTAATTGAGCAATACTTGCTGTTTTCTCCTTTCTCCCAGTTGCTTTCCCTGCTATTTATTTAAGATATATTTTCTACATGCAGAAATTCCCTTCATGGGAAATTAACTATTTAAAGTATTGTAAGGTTGTATGCAAAGGGTAAATTGTTCTTTTTTTCTTTTTAGAACTTGCAATGCATTGGATGTGGCCAAGCAGAGTAGTTATGCTCAATTAATAAAGCCCTCATTTCCCTACATAATTTCTATTTGTATGTAGTGTGAGCAATAAAAATGAGTTTGTAAACTAGTGCAGTCAATAATTGTAGAGGATAATTTGTAGGAGCACATGTAACACATTTCAGTAAACTTGATTTTTTGTGCATTTCTGGAATAATTGAAATAAAATACTGAAACATTGTAAAAAGTTATTTAATGAGACCTTTTGCAAACAGTACAAAAACTTAAATACAAAATTATTTCTTATTTTCATTTTTTATTTCTTTACCCTAGTAATCTGGCCTAAATACCTTTGACTTGCCCATTGTTCTCAAACAGTTTGTGCTGTAATGCATTAAGATTTAAATAAAGGAAATTCCACTTGTAATTTGTATACATCTATATTAGGATAGTCTTTCCTAATATAGGGAATATTAAGATAATCTTTTGATTAAGCATAGAAGTTTCATTTAAGATATAGGAACAATAAGGATTAATCTAGTTGGAATGTTTAAAACAAATGTGATATGAAAAAGCATATGGATGTTAAATAACTCATAGATTACTTTTCCTATGTCAAGGAGAAATAATAAGCTATCAAAGGAACTAGAATGGCCAAGTCCATTAATTCCTCAACTCCAATACATCTAGAATTCCTTTGTAATATAGATGCTTCTACTCAAACCCCCTATCTGGATGAGGACTAAGGTGTGCAAATGAGTATTTCATCCATGCACGGCTACCTCTAGCTAAATGGCTGCCATGAATAAAAGTTAATTTCGTTAGGCATGGCAGAAAGGGAGTCCCTTTTCCCTTTTCAAGCTTTTCCTAAATATATCCTTTATCTATAATTTTTCAAGTAACAAGCAATGATTAACTTGGTTAAATCCTGAGTGGAGATTAGACATTCCTACTCTAACAGTTGTCTCCCCAGGAGTCCTTGCACTTCTTGAATATGTGCAATCAATGAAATCAGGGCTGCCCTGCAATGCAGCATCCAACATATCCTCTGTGGATCAAACAGGTGGCATTGCATGCAATGCTGTTGAAATTTGGATAGAGTTTTCATCACAAGATTTCTGTTAAGCAGAAGAAAGGATGAAGTCTGTCCCTTGCAGTTCTTCCAGTTAAACAACCAATCCACATGGTAATTTCTTGATCAACATAATAATCCCAGTTACAGTTCTTATACATGCAAATATTGTTCAGCAGAATTTCAGCTGATTCAGGTAAATGTATGTCCTTCAAGTATCCTTCTAGACTCTGTGTTCACTGAAAATGGTAGTCGGGAGTGTTTCTACTGGGACTTACTAATACTTTGAAATGGTTATGGAAGTCCTTCTCATGTGCTATTCTTTGAAGACTGTTAAGTTGACAAGAACACAAAAAAGAAGCCTTTCATTAATAACTTCATGCTGCTCAGATGGGTTGCTATGCAGGATCCATCGTTGTAAGCTTAGGAATCTGAGGTATTCTCTTTACTTTTCATGTACATTTCTTAATGGACTGGTTTGGGCTTCAGCTGGTTTAGATTTTAAAATTGTCAGTGCTGGATGTTTATTAAAGCTGCTGTATATATGTTGCTCTTTTTTTGCTGTTTTATTCCTGAATAGGGCTTTATTATGTCAGTGGTTCTTTGAAGACTTTTATCTTTAGTGACAGACTGGAAATAGTTAATGTATTATTATGGTTGCACAGTCAGACAGATTTTAAGACTTGATTTGGCATTATTATCCACCTATTAAGTACTTCTGAAGGACCTGGGATAGACAGATATTGTTTGATGGGGTTAAGGGTATCATTGTAGGAGGTAGGCCGTTCCAAGTAAATCTGCCTTTTGTAATTTACTGATGGTGATTTTGTCAATGGAGATGGTGTTCAATTGGTGCTCCAGATATTTTGGGATTGCACCCAAGGTACCTAATATCGATTGGTATTAGTTTTACTTTCTTTTGCCACAGTCATTCTGCCTCTATTTACCTCTGCCTCTATTTCTTTTATTTTCTTCTTCCTCTTCTATTTTGCTGTGTATCTAATGTAATATCTACTATCCAGACTGTTTCGTCTTATCCATAATTGTGAAGACTGTTGTGTTATGTGGTAAATGTTTGTATGTTTGAATTCTAAAGTCCCAAACACTTTAGCTTCTTCACATTCTATTACTAGCATTTTGTGGTTCTACCAGTTCTTGCTTACAAGCAAGTGGTATTCCTTGCAGATATTCCAATGTACCATTGTTGCTACTTTGTTAGGCCATTGCTTGTTGTTAGTCTGTGTAAACTTTTGTAGGAGCTTACTAAGTGATGCACTGTTCTGCAGGTACTTTGCAGAGGTGGCATTTGCTTTGTGTTGCTAGCTTCTCAATTCTACATTTGCATGGATTTGTTCTTAAGACTTGGTCTTGCACTGCCAGAATAAGCCCCTCTATCTCATTTTTCAGGTTTCCTATGCTTAACTGTTGCCAACACTTGTTTTTATTTGCTTTGTCTGCTATTTTTCTTTATGTACTGGCCATGTAATAATTTGCCATGCCATGTGTCTTTTTATTATGTTCACAACATTGTAAAATTACGGATGCCAGTTCTTTAGCTGTGTTGGCCTTCATATTCACAGAGTTCTTCCCCAAAACCTAGATGTCATAATTATTGGCATAGAATATGTGTGGTACTAATAATTAGTAAAAGTTATGTATTAAGTTGGTGTCAATTCTTGGCAACCAGATAGATAGACTTCTTTCAGGATGAAATAATAATAGCGACAGTATTTTGCTGGTCCCACAAACATATGACTTTCTAATATCTGTGTATTTAAAAGCTGAAATAGGCATTTAGGAATAATCCTTAGGATAGTTGAAGATAGTTACTCTATTATATGGCATTGCGTTTATGCAACTCATACTGTATGCATCACACAGTATACAAAACTAAAAGACTGTGATATTGTCACCATTTTTTCCAGTGTTTGTTAAAAAAACTAGGAAAATGAACAATGAATAAGCTTCTATTTTTAGCATAGCAAACATCCAATCCTATCTTTTCTTGATCAAAACTTGAAACAATGATTTTCAAATGAAAAAGGATCACTCATTCACTATTTATGTATCAGATAATTCAGTCTTGCCTGATTTCAGATGCATCTTGACATTTTCTGTATTTATTTTCTATGATCCATAAGTCAATATACAACTGTTAATCTCTGCTGCACTAACATTATTTGGTTTGTAAATATCCTTTTACCTCTTAAGGCACTTATTTAAACTATTCCATAAATCACTCTGGAAATATAAACATTTACTTGCAATATGAATATGGCCTATTGCTTGCTGGGAACAAGAAATCAATACTATAGATGTCAGTCAATTTGCTAATAATTAAATTGCTTTCTAACACTGAGATTTGTCCTTTTCTACTATTTTTGTCAATATGACCAGATTAAAATCTTCACATAAAAATAGAAATTTTGGCAAAGAGAAGTTGGTACATGATTACGGAGCCTTATTGAAGTCACTGCAGTTTTCATTATAAACAAATCTTTATAGTATTATTCTAAAATAAATGTTTGTTTCTTTGTGCCTTCCACTTGAAAGTTTCATCCTAGAAGCAAGTGATTGGTAAGCACTTTATGTAAACCTTGATATGACATTTTTAATGCAAAAAAGCAGACAAATGTTGAAAATATTCATTGTACAGCAGCAAGCCAATTAACACTGGGCTTATCAAATAGTTTTTCTTTATAATAAGCTGTACATATAATGTTTAAATTTGTAATTTTATTTTAATATTGTACATGTTGGTCCAAAAAAATCAATAAATGCATCTTTCAATGGTATAGATTTGGAAACACAGAAAAAGAGCTTTCATTTCGTCTGAGTGTGCAGTTTACATTGGATACAATAAATATCCAGAAAAAGACGAGTGAACATATTGCCCAGCATAAAGTCCTGCCGCCTGTTCAGATGGCATCTGGATATAAACTCTGTCACCGTGCAACAGCTGGACAACGGCACTTCCAGAAGCTTGGTCCAGGAAACCTTTCTTGTATTCATCATACGTGTACATCAACGGCTCATTGTTTTTAAATAATGCCACCCAGACATTTCCCCCTTTGCAGTGTATGTGGTAAGCGAAGTAGTAGATCCCAGGGATTTCACAGGTAAAGACACCAGTCTGTGGATTATAATTCTGCCTGCCATTATAAAGGAGCTTGTCAAACACCACAGGAACCCTGACCCGTGGAAAAGGAGTGGTGAGCTCAGCCGTGAAAGCCGGCATCTCATAGGCAGCGGCGGCAGCGGCAGCAGCGGCACTGTTTTTGCTTTTCTTTCCCTTATAACCATATGGAGATTTTATTCCATCAAGGCCTGGCCCCACCTCTGGCAAATACTGTCCCATTGCTGGCGGTGTAGGTTGCATTATTACTGTTGGGCCAGGGGGCCCAGGGGGCCCAGGAGGTCCTTGAAGACCTGGCTGGCCAGGAGCACCAAGTGATCCAGGTTTCCCTGGTGGTCCAGGCATCCCTGAAACACCAGGCTTCCCCATTCCTGGAAAACCTGGTGGGCCTGGCAAACCCCGTTCCCCTTTAGTTCCAGGTAGTCCAGGAGGTCCAATTGGGCCACTTGGTCCTGCAATACCTGGGATTCCAGTAGGGCCCTGATGGCCTTGAGTTCCTGGTTTTCCAGGTTCTCCCTTGGGGCCCATGAGCCCGTGAGCACCAGGCAAACCTGGCAAACCTTTGTGACCAGTTTCTCCTTTTGGTCCAATTGGACCAGGCAAGCCCCTCAGACCTGATGGGCCCACCTCTCCTTGAAAACCAGGTTTACCTGGGAAACCTTGCAAACCAAGCTCACCTTTGGGACCAATAGGTCCTGGAGGCCCAACAGCTCCAACTTCTCCTTTTGGACCTGGGAATCCCATCACACCTGAGGGCCCCATTAATCCAGGCTGGCCTGGTTGGCCTGGTTCCCCTGGAGGCCCAGGCATGCCAGGTGGGCCCACATGACCTTTTTCACCCTTAGGTCCCAGTGGGCCCTGAGCACCACCCATGCCTCGATCACCTTTTAGACCAGGGAAACCAGGCTTTCCAATTCCAGGAGCACCAGGTGGTCCTGGTAAACCTGGCAAGCCTTGTTCCCCTTTCCCACCTGGCATGCCTGGCTGCCCTGGGATTCCATCTTGTCCTGGCTTTCCTATACCTGGAAGACCAGGAGGACCTTGAATTCCATGAGCCCCAGCTAAGCCCCGTGGCCCTGGTTCCCCTGGAATCCCTGGCTTGCCTACAGCTCCCTGAGGGCCTGGAAACCCTATCATTCCTGGCTTGCCTATTCCAGGAAGTCCAACAGGACCAGGGGGACCTGGTAAACCAGGTGGCCCTTTTAGCCCTGGTAACCCTGGAATCCCCACACCTTTATCTCCTTTTGGGCCTTGGGGGCCTTGTATCCCAGGTTGCCCTTTCATTCCTGGCTCGGCCTTTGCTCCTGGTTGTCCTGGTAATCCTCTGTCACCTGGTTTTCCTATTCCAGGCAGTCCTTGAGGTCCTGGTGGTCCTTGGGGTCCTGGCATTCCCATAGATCCACTCTCCCCCTTTGGCCCCATTTCACCTCTTGATCCTGGAGACCCCATTGCTCCTGGTTTTCCTGGCATTCCAGGCATGCCTGGTTTTCCAATTCCTGGGTATCCTTGTGGTCCTGGTTTGCCTTTAGCTCCTGGTATTCCATGTCCTGGTAGCCCTGGAGATCCTGGAGGCCCTCTTGGTCCAGGCTCTCCAGGAGGACCCTGTTCACCTCTCAAACTGGCTAATGGCAATTCTGCTGTTTTAACAAGAGAAAGACAAATAAAGAAAGGAATATTAACTTTCATCTCAACTGCTCTAGATGTCACCAACATGCTTCAAGAGGAATTGATGTATCAGCCTACTGGCTGGATTATTTTTACAACATAGTTTTAAGATGGATTACCTCCTTTCAAAGAACATTAGCAATTTTGTGATCAATGCTGCTGGCCCCCATTTTTTTTTCCTAAAGTGTTCCTGATGAATTAGACCCATATTCAACTTGATATTTCTATGTGTTTTGATGCAGCAAAGTCTAGAAAAGTAAAGAAAAATGACTTGTTGGAAAGGATCATTTTATAACTTTTCTGAATCTGGAAGATAAGGTTATGCAAATGGGAGTGGACAAGGTGCACTCCCCTGCCAGTCTCTGTATTTCAGAGTTTCAAAACTGTGTTTCAGTTTTAGTGAAAGTGGCAATGTCTTCTTCTATTGCACTAAAGACATCAAGCTGCTTGCCAATGGCATCTCACATCAAAATGTGCTATCTGAGGCAGCTATCTCACTCTGACTAAAGCAGGTATGAAGACATTTTTGTAACAGGACAGAATAAACTTAACATTAGGAAATGGGTGAGGAAAATGACCTATTTTGGTGCACAACTAAAAGTAGGGAATTGAAAAAAGGGAATGTGTAAACATCTGGGTTTGTTGCTAACTCTCTGTACAACTTAAGCTGATAGATGTTTCAGAATAAATGCAAAAGTAATCTTGTCTTCTCCTAAAACAAAAAAAAAAAGGCTAAACAAAATATTCTTCACAAATGCTGATTTTTGCAATATAGTTTATGCATTTGGGCAAATTTATATTGAGGATATTAAACTTGACTTCTCTTCCATCCTATATCATATCAGGATTCTGAACTAGGACCAGAGAGGCTCATTTTCAACTCCAGCCTCAGCTATGGAACCTCATCCGGAGACCTTGGTCCAGTCAATAAGCCCAACCTACTTCATATCTTGCCCATATTACCTTTCTGTTTCTTTGAAATCCTCTCCTTGCCAAGCATGGGGATCTGTGGAATTTCTTTTATATACTGAGGGATATATTCTTTCCCATATGATAGGTGTGGCCCCTCCTTTCCCATGTGCTGCATTGGCACTCCATCTTTACTCAACGGCATGTGAGGTACTTGTTGCCCAAGGGGTTGGTACTGTGGCACTTGAGGAGGCATCTGCTTGATCCCATAATAAGCACCAGCTTGGATAGATCTTAGTAGCCCAAAGTAAATGATTAGCCATGTAGGTGTGAGCAATATAGCCATAATCTGCAACAACAAATAAATAGTTCTGAATGGAAAAACAGCAAGAACAAATATAAGAAACTTAATTTTGGACAACAAAAATTATCCCAAAGGAAAAAAAAACCACTGATTAGAAGGTATTTCCTTCTGGTAATCTTTATAGTTATTGAGCATTAAAGTAAACAGAGCTGGTTGTAGGTCTTAAGGTCTCTGCAGTGTTTCTGACATTTTAGCTTTGAAAGCATAAAGATAACTACCAACTGCTAATTATATTTATAATATTGCTTTAGGAAAATTGTACCATTACATTGCAGAACATTAAAATAGTTGTTTTCATTCATAAGGGAGGCTTTCAAGGTTTTTTTAAAAAAATGTAGTTATTTTGGAAAGAGAGAAAGAAAAGACAAATGCCTAGAAATTATAAAATATTTCATAGAAAAGTTTTCATAACAAAACATTAATTTATGAAATAAGATAAAATTAAAAGAAAGTATGAATATACAGAAAATCTGTACTTCTTGAGTCTTTTAGGGTAGGAAGAATCCCTGTTTATTAAGGATCCCTGTGTTATTTCTCTGCCGGAAAATTCTTCATTGAGAGACCCCCTTCTCCTGAAGACTTAGTTGTACCAGGGGAACAACAGTTTCAAGGAACCATAAAGTGGAGCTGAAGAGTTCAGGGCTTTCAGAAATTGTCATTCTAGGTCTGATGCCCTACAAGATTGAGAGGCCATCTTAAGTGAGGGGAAATAAAACACATCATCCAGATCACAGGCCAGAGGTGGATATTCAGCAGGTTCTGACCAGTTCTGGAGAACCGGTAGTGGAAATTTTGAGTAGTTCAGAGAACCAGCAAATACCACCTCTGACTGGCCCCGCCCCATCTATTCTCTGCCTACTGAGTCCCAGGTGATCGGCTGGGTCTTCTTTTGTTTCCCTGAGCAGGAGAACGGAACTGGAAAGCAGGTTAGTGGGGTGGGGAGGGAATGGGATTTTCTAGTAACCTTTCTCTAGGAGTGGGGAGGGAATGGAGATTTACAGTATCCTTTCCCTGTCACACCCATCAAGCCATGGCCACCAACCAAGCCACATCAGGCCCACCAAGCCATGCCTACAGAACCGGTCGTAAAATTTTTTGAATCCCACCACTGTCACCGGCACACACCATCTTGTGAGGATGAGTTTTCTCCAATTTATATAAGAATGCCTATGATTGGAACCTAACTGTGGTAATACAAAATCTAGTACAAAAAAGGCCAGTATCTGTAAGAAAAATACCCAAATTCCCTCAAAGTCTTATTTCCTGTATTGCTGTTTGCAAATTAGGAAGGTTCTTTTGATACAGGACCAAAATTTCAAAGAAGAAATAGTAAGATTACTCAATAAATCTGTGTGGCAACTCCAAAATGGTGTATTGTGTAAATTTTGAATGGTGTGCTGTCTCGGATGTTGACAGCTAGTCTGTTTTACAAAGTCACTGTTATGCTAAAGAAATACATATTTAATTTTATGGTCTCAGAAAGTGGTATACTATTGTCATGAACAATTATACAAATATGTTGGTTAACTTGTTTTTAAAAAGAATTATTCTTACCCTTCATTGGTCTATAAGAATTGGGTTTACCGTGACATTCAATAGTAGTCCTACAAGTTGCTCTCTTCTTATTAAATCAATATAATTTAGACAACCAATAATGTGTAATGGCTTGTGTATCAGTTTTCTTCAAGTCTTATATGTATGAGTAGTACAAGGTATGTTTCCATGATATTTGAATGCCAATATCAGCATCATCAGACAGGGCTTTCTTGTCACAAAACAACACAAATTAACCTGTGTAATAAAAGCAACTAATTCTCAGTCCCATTAATAGTATGTTTGCTTTCACTGCAAACATCTTTGTGGGTGTTTTTGCACAGCTTTTTTGTTTTCTGAGAATTTCTTGGGGAAAACAATGTTGAGAGGAGGCCTCTGAATATTATGTTCTCAGCATCATGCTTGTTTTTCCAATCTTTGAACACCTGGTATGTTCCTAAGTAAGCATACCAGTCTAATAGGCCTGTAGCCCGGCATAGATTATTAGAATAACCAAAGATGACAATTGATAAACTCGGAAAGGTACTTGCAAACAGCTCCAGACCAAAAAAAAGACATGCCAAACCACCATAGAAACTGTCAGGAATGAATGTCATAACATGCTTATTTTATTCCCTGTTTGAAACAAATGAAAATAAAAAAAAAACAGTGATGACTTATTTTTCCTAATAAAATTATTTTTTGTTATTTGGAAAGCATTCAGAAGTTTGCAAATCATCAGTTATAACAGTGATAAATTCAAGTATTTTGTCAACTTTTTAAATGTTTGCTTATTATACTCCTCAAAGATGTTTCAGAAATCTTTTGCTTCTGGTCTTTTCCTGCTGGAGTATTTCAGCAAAAGACTTTTATTAGTTTTATTCACCCCTAAATTTGTCTAAATCCTCAGTAAATTGAAATAATTTAGTAATGCATAATTTGTGTGTGTTTTGAATAGTCTTTTAGACTGTTTCTTAACTGTTTTGACAATAACATAATAAGTTTATTCATGAACAGGTTTCTATATGACGAATCGCCCTTTCTGGCAACCAGGCCTTTAACCAGGAATATTTGAGAAACTATTTTTTGAAGCTTAATGTCTTCCTAATCTCTCTTAGTGTCTAATTTTCTCCTTAAAATATCCACGGAAAGTTTACATGGAATTATTTCTAAAGTATAATCATAATTTCTATGGATTATGAACCTTTCACAATTCACGGGCAGCAGAAAATAGAAACTAAGAAGCAATATTGGCAATTATACACTAGATGGAGTCTTAGTTTCATGATTCTGAAATTTCATTATTTAACTAACATTTCAAAAACAAGATGTGCTTATTGAATAGTAAAAACAAAATTGTTATAAACTGCTTAAGATTCCAATATCTTCCTTCAAGGTAAATTTCCTTTCCAAGAAAATCACATTTTCTACAGCATTCAAATTTCAGGACTTGATTATGTGAAATATTGTTCCACAATTGTTACAACCTCTTCGTTTACAGCTAGATAAGCACAAAACTTCAAACAAAATAGTTTTACTTCAAACAAACCATTTTCTTCAATGGAATACAATGGGCAGGGCACTAAAACCTCAGGAATTTAGATTCATTTTTGGTACATATTTTTCTTATAAAAGCGAAAGTTAAGAACAAGCAACTTGGGATTTGGCGGCCTACATATATCGTATTAAAATAGTTGAGAAGCACATACTGTGCAAATCCATAATTACACCCAGCTTTCATTCTTTGGTTTTAGCCATCAGCTGACAACTGTTTAAAGTCAGCTAAACCGAGACTTGAGTTATTAAGCAAAGGTGGTCAGAAATATGTGTAAATTACATTTAATCAGAATATGTCACGAAAATGTATTCGATATTTAAATTCCCAGCTATTATTCCTTTTAAACAAGTCATTCTTTGTACCCAGGTGGATGTAATCTATATAAAGCTTATATTTTATTTTTTCTCTTTGTACAAAATTCCTTGTGTACCTAATCACACTTGGCCAAATAAAGTATTCAGTCCAATCCAATCTCTCCTATAGCTTACTTTGTTTTTTTTTCCCCTTACCACTGTCCTTAAAAAAACAAAACAGGGAAATGAAATTTTCTTTTATTTGTAGAAGATCTGAAGTTTTCAGAATTCATGTCTTACTGAAAAAAAAGTTAAATTTATTTGAACTGCCCTTAAGACCCACCACTGTTGGAAGTATATTAAAGATAATTTTCATATTCCATTTTGTATACTATCAAGGAACTCTCCTGTATCCAAAATTTATAATAGAAGGATGTTTTTAAATATAATGTGTGAGGCTAGATTAGAATCATTTAATGTTGCTCTTGTTTATGACTCTCTGCTGTAATCCTGTGGTTTTATGGCCTGATACTTTGTCATAAAAGACTCCTTTCTTATATATATATATATATATATATATATATATAAATGAAAATTATATATAAATGAAAATTATATATATATATATATATATATATATATATATTTCATTTATATATAATTATATATATAATTTTCATTGAAACATTTAAACAAGAAGATAAGAATGAATATAAAGTAAGAAAGACAAAAGAAAAAGAAAAAAAAGCCTTCCCCCCACTTTGAAAATACTTTCTTTCCTAGCACTTTTTAAAAACTAGCAACAGTTATTGGTCTTTCATCTTCTCACTTTGATGCAATGCATACTGTGTTTTCTTAGCCCTTGTCACCATGCTGCTTTATGGGCAATTTGTCTTCAAAAACTAAAGCTGTCTTAAAGTTTGTATCTTGAGCCTGAGTCTCTGCCATGTACAGTATTTCACCACACTGTACTTTGATTATCTTTTCCAAGTGGGAATGCAAAACAATAGCATCTCTTATTTTCTTTGCTTTGTATTAAATTTATAGCTCTTTAGAAACCCAGGATCCCAATCCAAGGGAGATGTTCAAACGATGAAAAATGTCTTTACAGTATTTTTCTTGAAAATGTCTCCTGCAGTTAGACCATTTTCATTGGAAGGGGTTTTTTTTTCCATTGCAAAGACAGAATCTTTCTACAATTTTGCTGTGACCAGCGGTAAAAACAATAAATAAATTGATCGATGTCTTGTCTATAAACTACTTCCAGTTCTGGAATAATCAATGTCTACCCAAATAGCAAATGAAATGTGATGATTTATTTTGTAGAAAAATTTAAAAAAAGTCTTTTTAAAAAAACTTTTTAAAAAAAGTCTCATTTCTCCCTCTTACAGAGTAACAGAGTTGGAAGGGACCTTGTAGGTCAACTAGTCCAACCCCACCCAAGCAGGAGACCCTACCTATTTCTGACAAATAGCAGTCCAATCTCTTCTTGAAAGTCTCAAATGATGAAGCTCCTACAACATCCGAAAGCAAGCTATTCCATTGGTTAATTGTTCTCACTGTTAGAAAATTTCTCCTTATTTTCAGGTTAAATTTCTCCT